TTCCTTTCTCAACAATACATGGTCTCCAACGTTAAATTTAATTATTTTTGCTTTGTTCTTATCAAATCTACGTTTGTCGTAACGAGCATTAACTTCCATATTCTCCTTAGCTTGTTTTCTTACGGATTCTCTATTAATTAAATTATCCTCTTCTTCACCTATTGGCAATAGGCCGAAAGGTCTAGCTTCCCTACCGATAAGCATTTCTTATGGGCTGACCTTGGTGACTCGATTAGCTGTGGAATTCATTGCCAACTGTACTTCGGCCAATGCATCTTGCCACGATCTCTGACTTGTTTCGACAGCGGTCAACATACTTTTAAGTGTGCTCATAATACGTTCAACCTGGCCATTTGCCCTACTCGCGCCCGTTGCAATTAAGTGAAGCTCAATTTTTTGGGAAGAACAAAAATCACGAAATCCTGAGCTGGCAAAGTTACGGCCCTGATCCGCTATAATTCGAGTAGCCACACCAAACAAACACACGACGGCTTTAAGGGCTTTAATAGAACTTTCTGTGTCAATATTTAAGATATGATGAAAATAAACAAATTTTGTGAACGCATCCACCAAAACAATTACATACTCCTTTAGGTCGTTCTTTCCACTCAACTTTCCAGTAATATTTATGTGCACTGTGTGCCACGGAATTTCGACCTTATTAATCGGATGTAATTCCACCTGAATTTTCGCAACCGGTGGCTTGGCTAGTTTACAGGTAATGCAGTTTTCGACAAACCTTCGAACGTACTTCGACATATTTTCAAACCAATAAAACCCATATACCTTATCCAAGGTTTTTTCCCAACCCAAATGCATAATAGATTCGTGGACGTGATTAATCACTGCCCATCTAAATGCCCTAGGTATTACAGGTAAACACTTGTTTTTGCCGTTCCTTTGTATTTTTCGATATATAACGCCTTTTCTCAATTCATAAGTTTTATCTAAATTTTCCGGCAATTCGTTATTTTTAAGCTTAGCTAATAAATCAGCTATTTCAGGGTCCCGTTGTTGCTCAGAAACTATCCAATTGTCAGTTACCTCAGTCAATTCAATTCGCTTTTCAACAATTTTCTCTACGCTCTTGCATTCTTTAATCATCGGATTCCTTGATAAAAAATCTACGTGTGCCATTCTTTCTCCTTTCGTGTACTGAATGTCAAAATCAAACGACTGTAGAAAAGCCCACCATCGATGCACCCTTGGTGAAAAATACGATTTTGTTCGACTAGCTTTTACCGAATTGCAATCAGTAAATACAACAAATTTACGCCCCTGTAAATAATGACCAAAATGTTTAATGGCATTGACGACTGCCAAAGTCTCAAGCTCCTATGTGTGGTATTTTGATTCAGCAGGTGACGTGAATTTACTAAAATATTCAACAACATAGGGCTTTTTGTCGATTTTATGAAGCGAAATTGCACCATAGCCAATTGCGCTGGCATCTGTATGAAGTTCAATCGAATGTTGAGGGTCGAATATGGTTATCACCGGCTCCTGGGTTAAAACGGATATTATTTTCGAGCGAATTCTTTCATGCTCTAACAGCCAAACGAAATCTGAATTTTTCTTTGAAGTGAGCGAATACAGTATTTTTAAGGTCTCTGAAAATTTTGGTACAAACTGCCGAAAGTAAGATGCTAGCCCTATAAATTGTCTTAACTGCGTAACCGTTTTTGGGGGTGCCAATTCTGTCAGCGCTTGAATTTTGCGTGGATTGGGGCGAATCTGTCCTTTGCTCACTTCAAACCCCAGATATTCTATACTAGTTTTAAGAAAGGAACACTGAATGAAAATCCAGCCTTGCTCAAGGTTTCTAGCACAATCTAAAGCACGATCTAAAGCTTCGTGCTTAGTTTCGGCCACAATCAAAACATCATGTTAAGTCGCTTTCCTTTAAACTTGTCTGCAACACTTTCCTTGACCAACGAACATTCAGCTTCTGAGTCGAAGCAAAATAGTATTGACTCACCGGATGCTTTTATTATTCCCTTGGTCGGGGAAACAATGCAAATGTCCTCACGCTTCTCGAAGGAGATCTCATTTCCGCTGGTCCGGATTTTAGGACATGAACTAGCGTAATTTCCCAGTTCGACGCATTTAAAACATCGTATATTGGAGCGATCCTTCACTCCAGTATGCCTGCTCCCGCACAGAATTAAATTTCGGCAAAGCAACATGTACAGGCCTTGCATCTGCTACCGGCCTTGGATTCTGCATGGATTTGATAATGTCCATTAGATTCCGGTTCTGTGCTTCAAGAGCTGCGAGGATCTGGTTTGAATCTTGAACTCTAGGCTCAGCCGATCCCACTTCTGATATCGGGGGCTCGTTTGGTAACGGATTCATTTTTATTTAATTTTCAAAGCTCAGCAAGTTCTGCTCGTCTCTATGCCGCAAATCGAACTGACCTACGAAAACGCAGAGCTCAATTTTACCAATTCCTTCTTTGCTCCTGCCTCTGTTCTCACTCAGTTCGCGGCATACGATCAGACCTCACTCAGTAGCAGACACTCAATTTTCCCGCTAACTGCGCATTTACAATCCAATGTTCCAAAATATGTCTCGCCAATGCGTCGCCTACTTTAAATGACATTCTAGGAACGCAGCGAACACACACTGACCTACGAAGAACATGTACAGTGGATCTCATTAATATTCGGTTTTTTGTTTTTTAAACTTCAAAAGCAAATAAAATGTACAAGACTAAGAAAAAACAATTTTTTTTTAATGTGGTATTAAAGTTGGTAATATTACCTTTTCATAGGTATATATATATTGAGACTTTATTTAAAATTTACAGAAGAAACATATATAAACAAAAAAAAGCTCAAAATTTGCGTTACTTTAGTATTCGGTATTTTTTGAACGTCGTCAAAAAAAACCCTGTGGCAACTCCAAAAACCCAAAAATTAGCGCGAAAAATGGGTTTCCCAGAAAAGCCAACATCTATGTGTCAATAATTGACAGCAAACAGACAAATATACTAAGTTTTAGCTCCAAAATTTAAGATGGGCCGTAAGAGCAAAAATTCGTCCTTGGAGCAGCGAAAACTCGTTCTCCAACTGCATTTAGAGGGCAAAACTTACAAGGAAACTGCCAAAATCCTGGAGATGAAGTCGAATACGGTTGGTGACATCGTCCGACGGTTTAAAAATGAGGGAAGAGTCGCCTCAATTAAGCAAAAAGGACAACCGAAAAAATTGACTGAGCGCGAAGAAGCGGAAATAGTCCGAAAAGTGAAGAAAAATCCTAGACTTAGTGCGCCAGAATTGAAGGCCGAACTCTTCGCCGACCATGGGAAGACCGTTTCAGCCCAAACCGTTCGTCGTACCATAAAAAACCATGGGTACAAGTTGTACCGTACAACGGCAGAGTCGCTCGCAAAAAGCCTTTGCTGGCTGAGCGTAACCGGAAGTTAAGGAAAAATTTTGCCCTGGAGTACTCGAAAAAGGACCAAAGCTGGTGGGACGATGTAATTTTCTTGGACGAGAGTAAATTTAACCTTTTTGGCAGTGACGGCAAGACCATGGTTTGGCGGCAACCAAATACGGAGCTGCAAAAAAAACACCTAAGACCGACTGTAAAACACGGCGGCGGAAGTGTGATGATTTGGGGCTGCATTTCCGCAAAAGGAGTGGGAAATCTTGTATTTATTGAAGGAATTATGAACCAGGACCAATATTTAAAAATTTTGAAGGAGAATTTGAAGCAGTCGGCGGAAAAAATGGGCATTGGCGAGACTTTTAAGTTGTACCAAGACAATGACCCGAAACATAAGGCCCATAAGGTTAGGTCCTGGCTGCTTTATAACTGTCCAAAAGTTTTGGAAACGCCTCCTCAATCGCCTGATCTCAATCCGATTGAGAATTTGTGGAGTGAGTTGGACCGCCGTGTCCACAAAATGCCAATTTCATCCATATCGGCCTTGAAGGAACGGCTTCAGGAAGAGTGGGCTAAAATTGGCCCCGAATACACCAAAAAAATTATTCAAAATATGCCAAAACGTTTGGCCGATACCATAAAAAATAATGGCTATCATACGAAGTATTAAATTAAGTTTATTTTCATGATAAAAAATGTTTAACATAGTCGATAATCATTATCGGGGCAAAAAAAATATGAGGCGGCATTATCGGATAATGCCGCCTCATATTTTTTTGCCCCGCTACTAGATTTGTCGCCATTAGTCGCTATGATATTTGGGTGCTCCAGGTTTCACGATACAGCTAAGATGTTTAGCGACTTTTTGAAGTACATACATACATATATGTATATGTATTTTACAAATTGGAGTTCCCAAATGGCTTTTTGCTGAAAAACTCTCTCAATATGTGGAACTTGCCACCCATTTTTTAAAAATGAATAACAAAACAAGGAGAAACACTTCAGTCGAGTGCCTCTACTATAACCTCGACTTGACTTTAGTTGTCAATAAAGTTGCTAAAGTATATTACTAAAATCAGAAAAAGCGGTTATTAAAAGATTTTTTTATTTTATATTAAATAAAACTATTGTTTTAAGTTATTATTTCACCATGTGTTTACAAACAAAAGCGAACTTGGGTTGGTGTAGTTACGTATTTACATACATACATATGGGGGCGAAAATGTGCGAGTTGAGCGACGACGAAATGGAGTGTCGTCGATCGAATTCGACTTTAATTTTCATATAACTTCTCTTAAACCCTATGCTAACCTAAGAGGCGAGAGACGGGGAGAATTCGGAAAAGCGAATTAAAGCTTTATTGGCTCCTGCTCTCGCCTTACAACTAGATATTTTAAAATCTTTATATTATTTTCTTGTTTTTCTTTCCCTTTATTTCTCCAAACCCAAAAACTTTTTGAAAAGAATTAGTATGGCAATACCTTTCGATCAATGTACAATTAGTTTTGATATTAGCAGATTTTCAGTTTTTCCGCCTTTTACATAGCAGTCTCCCTCTAAATTTAAATTGGTAAACATCTAACCAAATAAATATTTTGCTTTTGCAGTCTTTAGAAGCTAAGAAGATGGCTGATATTTCCAACAAGCTTGCCAAGGTTGAGGAAGCCACTCGCAAAAAGGATGAGATTACCAATGAGTTCATAACTCAGACCAAGGAGCAGCTGGAGTCTAAAATGGAGCAGCATGTAGAGAAACGAGACGCCATCATCAGTGACATGAAGGAGAAGCTGAAGGTTAAATGTTTTATGATAATCCTATTCTTGACAAAATATTTTTATTAATTTGAACGAAAAACAGATTCATGCGCAGGAGATCGAAAAGACGCGTGAGACTCTTGAGCAGCAGAAGGCCAACGAGCAGAAGGCAATCGAAGAAAAATTGAAAATTGCCCAGTCTTTGCGTGATGAAAATATTAAGAAAATGTTGGATCGTCTAAAAGAGCATGTGAGTGTGCATGTGGCTGTCGACCAAGATGACTGAAGGATTTTAGTTTCTTTTATTCAATAAACATATAAATTACATTTTTATTTAACTCACGCATCCCTAAATCTGCATGATTAAGAAAGAAATCAAGCCATGATTATTATTAATCGGAAAAGCACAACCATCTTTGGTATATAATCTTTTATCTGATATGAAATATTCTTTTCGTCTTCACAAAGCCCATCAACATTTTTTGTATTCATTCTAATGTTCTTGACAATAAATGGTATTTAAATTTTGTTTTGCCTTTTTTTCTGAATGCACAACATTTGAAGAATATTGCGTTAAAATTTTAGATTGATCCGAGTAAAACTTCCGAAGTTATACATATGTAGGTAGTTGAACGTAGGTGAGTTAGCTCGTTTTGTATTCGATTTTCGGGTGTCGAAAACTTTAAAACGCTCTCCTGAAAAGTTGTCATTTCAAAGTCGGTGAACACGATCCTGTAAAATCTACTGGACGAATCGTTTTGTAATTTGGCACACTATTTTTGTACCTAAATCCTCAGGTACTGACGTTAAGTTTTTTTTTTTACTGATTAGGCTAATCACGAATTTTTAGGCTAAAATCACGTTTTTGAATTCAAAGTGTTACCAAAAATTCAAAAATTGTTACCTTTAGTTACCTTTAGAAAGAAACGCAGTGAAGGAGACATCTCCGACCCTATAAAGTACATTAATTCTTGATCAGGATCGCTTCCTGAGTTGATATAAGCATGTCCGTCTGTCCGTCTGTCTGTTTCTACGCGAACTAGTCTCTCAGTTTTAAAGATATCGAATTGAAACGTTGCACACACCCTTCATTCCTTTGCACGCTGTATGTGTATGTATAAGTCGGAACGACCGGGATCGGCCGACTATATCCCATAGCTGCCATATAACTGAACGATTGGAAATGCCATAACTTTGGTGTTTTTAAAGTTAGGAATTTGGGATTTTTAATAAGTTTTAAGAATGCATCATATGAATTATTTAAAAGAATATTATTTACAGAATATTCTGCTCCGCCCGAAGTTAGCTTTCCTTTCTTGTTTAAAACCTTTTTCCTTGGAGGCGCTTACGAAACTTGGCTGCGAACGGCTTATTTTTTTTTTCGATGAAAATTTGTGAGAACTTAGTTTAAATGTTGTACTTTTATCTCTATATATAAAGCTATCAGTAAGAAAACTGGGAATCAGCGCACAGCCAAAACCACTGGTTAACAATATTAATATGTATTTTTATTATATTCTAATAACTTTAAACTGATTTGCTAAGATTTATTGGGGCTCCCCAAGTGGCCCCAATCGCTTTCAATTGGAAAAAAGGTCAAATTTCCTTTCAAAAATTCTTGACGCTAAATCGTTTAACCAATCGAATCCGTGTTTGCGCCCAAAAATAGTTTAAGACATTATAAATGTTTAAAAAAATTGACCGCTAAGATTTAAGCCTTTTTACTATTTTTAACACCCGTTCTAAAATTACAATTTAGCAAAAAATATCTTCAAACGTCGAAAAATGGCACTTCTAAACTGAGTATCAAAAATTCCTTCGGTAAAGTTTTTCCTTAAGCTTTAACGATTCATTTGATGGTTTTACCAAAGCTCTAGCTATCTTCTAAACAAAGAAACTAAGCAAAAAGGCGATCTATTATCGAATTTAAGTGCTCTTTACAGTTATTGCTGCCAGAATACTCAAAAGACGTTTTTTTGGCGAAAATCTTGATAGTGTAGTAAAAATATACCATTCAAATTGTTTTTTGCGGTGTTTATTTTTACAGTGTTCTGCCACGCGCTGTTAGGAAACATAAGAGCGGGAGATCGCAGTAGATAGAGAGAAAGGAAAGAGTGTAGCAAGTGCGCAAAAGAAGAAGTTAACGGGGAAACTTTCAATTTGGTCAGAGTCGTATCAAGAAAATTTCTTAGCATAACCGTGTATTTTGGTGTATAACCGTATGTGAGCAATAATATTATTATATTAGTTCGCCTTTCTCGGAATTTTTATTTTTTCTATAGAATGTGCAAACTTGTTGATATTTTTGATGTTAACTTAAAAATTTGGTGAGTTATGCCAGTTAGTTTCGTTTTTTACTATTCTTAATTAGTATCGTCATAAATGATTTACATTTAAATGATCATTTTGTTTTTTATTAATTATGTGCAGTTGTGATATACCAATTAGCATACTTGCATTTTGTACATATATAAATGCGTTTTTGTAGTTTTTAATCTTATTATTCGATATAAACATTGCATAAAATGCACTATTTAAAAAAATATTGTCTTAAATTTAAGAGCTTCCTGTATGGAGACAGAAATAATGCAAACTTAAGACATCGCAAGCGAAGCTGCGGGCACCCTGCCTGTACGTTATAAAATAATTAATCTCACATTAACCGTATCGTGTGACAAAATTCATAAAAAGAGGCCTTTTTTGGCCGAATTAACCATACCCCTCCCCCTTTAAGCTGTATAGGCTTCAAAAGAGTTGACACTGAGGTAAAACGGATTCAGACATGTCGTTTGTAACGACATCCCAAATAATCCAATTGTATATGTATATATAACCAATGTTTTTTAAATTTACGATTTGTTTATAATTTTAAGTACAATTTTTAGATAACTTAGGTAAAAATATGTTCTAGAATATATTACATTTTAAGTACACTTACTTTTTATACCCTTGCAGAGGGTATTATAATTTCAGTAAAAAGTCCGTCTGTCCGTCCATTTCTACTCAAACTAGTCCCTCAGTAAAGCTATTTGCTTGAAACTTTCCCAAAAGTTCTCTTTTTATTCAAGGTAGTATATAAAAAAAATAAATGTGAACAAATTTGTATTTTGCTGTTTTTCTATTTATCAAAATATTTCTTTGAGATAATTGTACAAACTGCAAGGGTAGATAAACTTCGGCTTGCCGGGATCGGCCGACTATAGCTGCCATATAACTGAACGATCGGAAATGCCATAACTTTGCTGTTTGTAAAGGTAGGAAGTTGGGATTTTTATGGGTATTAAGAGTGCATCATATAAGTTTTTTGAGAATATAATTTACAGAATATTCTGCAAGGGTATATCAACTTCGGCTCCGCCCGAATTCAGCTTTCCTTTCTTGTTTTATTTTGATTTTATGTAAATAAGTGTTTAATCATGTGTGCATATAATTTTTGGTTTTTTTCTTATATCCTTTCATTTAGAACACAATCAAAATTGCCGAAATCAAATCGCAGAACGATCAATTGGAATGTCAAAAGCTCGAGGAGAAAGCTCGCATTTATGAGAACAAATTGTTCGCCGCAGAGCAAAAGCGCGAGAAGGAATTGCAAAAGAAAATTGAAAAAGTCCAAAAACTCGTACGTTCCCTCAAAAAAGCAACCATTTGCCTTATTGTTCGAGTAGCACTTGGTTGTTGTTGTTTCATCAGTTCCAGCTCCTTTGGATAATGAATCCCCACTAATCATTCATCGTTTCTTGTACTTTTAGGAGCGTCGTGCCGAGCTAGTGCGCCAGAACAAGGCCCAGGCCCAGGAAATAGATGGCCAGCAGAACCCCATTGTCTCATCCGGCTAGAGAGGTCGATATTGCATCGAGAGCTGTGCTCACTTACTGCAAACATGGCGACTACAAAAAGAATAGCAACACTGCATAATACACCAACACATATTTAAGCAAGAAAACTATTTAAAATTAAACCAATTTCTTCAAAATTCTCAAGTATTATAGAAAGAAACGAAAAGGCAAGAAGAAAATCTTAAAGCACCTCTGAGCGAATTGAGCCGAATAACGAAAGAACATTTACTCACAAACAGTAAAACGCTAAGTTCAAGTAAAAAGAAATGATGCTTACGGCAAATTATTGCAAAAAATAAATAGTATGGGAAGTCAATATTTAAACTTTAAAGCTCTGCCAGAAAATTAAAATTTAAAGCCTGTCATTTAAAATTTAAAATGAAATAATATTTTCAGCTTGACTTTCAGTTTTTTTAAGCTTAAAACTTTTTACCTCACGACTTTCCTTTATTTTAATTTTTTACTTTAATACTTTTAAAAATATCGCGATGTATTTGCATCGATAAATGGCTTTCGAGGGTATCATTTTTCAAAATATCTTAAATAAATATATGATTTTATGTATAATTTAATAAATATTTTTGGTTACTAACTTGCTAAAAAAATATATATATTTGCTGAATAGCTCAACACTAACAGATAATTATTTTTTATAAGTTTCGCATTTTCTATTTATAAAATAAATGTCAAACAGAAAAAATACATAAGAAATGCTTAAAAACTTTAATAAAAATCAAATAATGTAAAACACACAAAAAACATTTTGGTTTTATTTACATACAACACAGACATGTTTAAAAACCATTAATATAAATGAAAACAAACTACATATGTATAAGCATACATAAATGTGGGTATTATATGGAAATGCATTTTTGTCTAACGTCGAGTTATTTTTAGAAATTTATAAACATTGAATGGGGTTATAATAGAAAAAAAGTGAGACAAATGGGATATTTAGGCAAATTTTTTCATCCTGCTGGTTTTTTATTTAGTTTTGCACCAAGGAACGCTTTAAAGGATAGCTTAAATTTAAATTATATACCGTTATAAATGTGTACTCGTGTAAAAGTATGGCTTCTACAAATGAATATCAATAATATAAAACTCTTAATAAAAAGAGCAATGGCAAAACAACTACACACACGCACAGACCAAAAAATTACCCAGACACGAAAACTTTCAAACATACTCAAGAAAAGTGAACAAATAAACGTAAAGCATCAATACAATTGATAAAAATGCTTTGATATTTACTCAATTTATGATATGTATATTAATGGCTAATCAATATAATCTAATGCAATAATCAGCTGTACGAATCTTTTAAGTAAGAAGAGAGCGATACATTTTTGAAAAATGTTCTTTACACATGCCAGAAATACGATCGCTTAAAAAAACACATTTTTTAAGTTCACGCATAAATTAAGTTCATATAAGCCACAGATAACTGACCATACGCGAGCAAAATACTTATAACAATTGTATAATAAAAGTGCGTAAAACAAATAAATGAAATATTTATAATTGGTGAATCTTGTTTTTTAAATTTATATATTTTTACAAACTTTCCTCAAGTTTCCTATCGAGTTAGAAAAAAATGGCGCCATGCGATGGGGCTTTATCCGTGTGGCAGAGTTGCTCCACTATTTCCTAGGCGCATATGTACTGTACTCGCAACATCGAGCAAAACACTTTGGAGAACGAGAGTATGTCCCCATACTTATATTTGTGGTTTACAATTAACTTATACAATTTATTTATTGAAGGTATTAGGGAATACTTTGTGAAGGTTTTGTCATAGAGTAAGAATCTATATAGAGGTTTCATTTGCTCTCCCCGCACCTCTGCCAAAGCTCTGCTGAGAGCCATGTTCGAAGCCAACTTCGCGAAGCTTCGGTTGAAACAAAGACCAATATAATCTCTAAGATGCATAAATATGCATAAAAATCTAAAAATAGAATTGCACGAATAAGCAAGTGCGTATGTGTGCGTATTTGTTCGAGAAGACGATTTTCGGACAGAAATCATTTCTGGACTAAAAAACTAATTGTGTGACAAAAGAACTTCTATGATTGAACAGGATGTTTATTTAAATTGCATTTATGTACATACATGTCGCAATGAAGCTTGATGGAAAACCTTTTTATTAACCTTAAAAACGAATATCTGCATATTTAAATTAAGGCAGGCTTGCACCTTTTCTGGAATTTATTTCTTGAAAAGTATGGTAGGTGTGGGAATAAAATTTTAGCCAGTTGTAGGGTACAGTTTATTGAAGCTACACAATTTTTTTGAGTGCGATCCAAGCGAAGGGGGGAGGGGGAGTACCGAACAATGGCGGCATGTCTCGTCCTCATGGCGGATTTTTTGGAATTTTAAGAAATAATCTGAAACGCAAAAAACGAATATATTCTTAATCTGTACACTTGCTCGCATGGCTTCAACTAGGATAATTGAAAAAACATAAAAAATGCAAAAATTATGAGCTTTTGAAAAAAAAATCGGTTTTTTCCTCATTTTTTCGTTACTCATTATTTTTTTAAATAAACAATTTTTAATATTTTCAAAAGATCCTAGTCTATACCATGCACATACTTCTGAGGAACATGTATAAAAAATTTCATGACGATTGCTCAATTTTTGCGGCTTGTACGACTTCCGCCAACTCGGAAAACATGGTTTCGAGAAAAACGCGTTTGAAAATTTTCACTATAATGGCAACGCGCTTGACACCGGTCCACCAAACGGCCGATAACTTTCGTAATTCAAGAGATTTCGACTTGAAATTTTAGGAGAGTAAAATTAAAACATGTATGTATCCGAAACTCCAAAAAAAAAATTTGATTTTTTTGACTTCACAAGGTACAAGCCTGCCTTAAAGCTACAAACATAACTTTTAGTACAAAACATATAAAACTACTTGATTAAATTTAAAAATATATTGAAATATTTTTAATATATTTGAATTTACTATGATTGTTAAACAAAAACAAAGCGAAGTATATTTAAATTAAATATATTTAAAGGATGTTTAAATAAATATATTTCGCTTTATTTTTTATCCAAGGCTGTTTTTATTAACTTTAAAATGGAAATATTAAATTTCATTTTTATTCAAATATATTAAACTTTGATTTAATGATTTATGGAAATATTAAATTTAATTTTAATTCAAATATATTAAACTTTTATTTAATGGCTTAAAATATTTAAAGTAAATACGAATATACGAATATACAAATATCTAATATAATCAACCTGCATTTAATAGTATATTTAATATATTGACTATTTAAATTATTTAATCAATTTAATAGAATATTTAACATATTAACTATTTTAATTATTTAGTATATTTAATAAATAAAATAGTTAATATACAAATACATATACAAATATTTATTATTTATTTTTACAGGGTAGGTTTAATTTTCAAAATTTAGCTACCCTAGGAGTATATTTAAATATAATACAAGTACATTTTTTTTAAATTATATATATTTTAAGTATTTCGTATAAAAATAACATTTGGTTTAATGATTTTGTGCCTTTTAGATTTGATTTGAAGCTTTTTTAGATAGAAAAGCACGCAAACCTTTTTTGTTTCCCCTTTAGGTTTTTCTTTTTCTAAATAATTAATTATTTATATACATTTAATTTATATTATGATAATAATTTTAAATAATGTTATTATAATACGTATAATATAAAAATACCACATATTTTTAAATACATATATTTAAAATACAATAAATATAAAATATTTATTCTGTTCATTCGCAAAATTTCTGAGGCTCCTAAAAATCGTTCACACGTCGCACGCTGAATACCCAAATGACCATTATTCCAATGTGAAGTCATGTATGAAATACATTATGTATCTTTATATACGTAGATATATTTGGTCATTACTAAAAAATACACTACATTCGAATAATAATAAAGGAAATACAAAATAAGTATTTTTAATTATGTTAGAATTTAAAATAAAGAGTATATTTAGACAGCGCGAAATGTTTGTGAATACAGAGCGGTTGGTTGTAGAGGGGTTGCTGTAGAGCGCTCTCTCGCTGGCTTTTGGGCAAGTGAGGAAAAAGCCAGTTGAAAAGCCAGCACAAAAAATTCGAGCGTTTATAGAAACATCAGTTAAGCATCCCTACATAAGCATTAAAGGGCTGCGCAGCCGCATTCAAAACGGCTTATGAGACATTCATCTACCAATGAGTTGAATGAATCGGCTGCGAAATGCAATGAATGTGAATGAATGTGTGCGCCGCCGCTGTACTCAACTCATCGAACTCACACATAGGGAGAGCAAATTGAATGCCGAAAGAACCGGGTAAAAATAGTGAGTGCGATGAAATTAAATAAGAGACAATAATACAATGTTTATTTTCATTTTATGTACAGTGACAAACTTAATTATTGGCACAGCAAGCATGTTAAACTTTGAGGCTATTTTTCTTCTTATAATATGCTGATATTAAAATAAAACAAAATATTTTTAGATAGAATCATTAATTTTATGTTAAATACAAGTGACTTCATTAATTTTTCTTTTATAAATAATTTATTAAAAATAAAAAACCAAAGAATGGACCAAATTTGCCTGAACAAAATTATTGGCACACTTGGGTTTTAATTAACTATTTTGTTAAAACTTTATCGATTTGGCCACTTTTTTTTAATTATCACATTTGCCTCTATAATCTTAATGGAATAATGATTAATTTTATAGCTAAAATTGTTTTAGTGCCTTAAAATAAAGGAAAAGATGTTTGACTTTACAAGGTAAAAATAAAATCAACCGCATGTGTCCAAAAATTAAAATTTAATAAGCAGCATCAAGGCAAATCGATAGTCAACATTGGGGAAAGGATGCTCAGAAGCCATTTTTTCCATTCGGAGTCCTTTGCCGCATTTAAAGGACCCACGCAGTTGCAAAATGCAGGGCACACTGGCTAATCCATGGATTTGAGAGGCCAGGAAAGCGTAAGGATCGTATAAAAGGACAATGTCAACCCCCAGATCTCCTCAACACGTATCGAAGTTGATGATAAGAAGGACTTTGGTAAGGAAATATCGTATTTGCGGAAAAGATATTATCAACTGCCTTAGCAAGACAAGTCTGTCGCTGTACAAAGAAATTAAAAAACAATACAATTTAAATTTAACAGTTGTTTTTTTTAATTTACTGATAACTTTTGCTAATTTCAAGTTCATAGCTGCACAGTGAGAAGGGCACGCCAAAAGATTAAATTTTTTACTCTTTGCGCTAGGGTTCACCAAAAGTTCATTTCATGTGGTTGGCAACGCGAAGTAATTTTCTGGTATTTTTTCGTCGATCTGAGTACCGAGGTGAAAAAAAGCCTGACGAAAAGTTAACGCCAGCTGTTTGCCTCTCGCTCTCTCTCATGACTGGCGTACAGTTTTTGTTGATCTGATTACTATGCTTAATTAAATCACAGTGCGCTACGGTCTTACTGTCAATCAGCTGTTGACAAACAGTAACAAATCAAAAAACATTTTCAGGAAGGGCCCCTTAAAGATATTCTCAAGTACCTTGGCAAGTCGAGACAGCCGGTGTACAAAGAACTTAAATTTAAATTTTTTTTAAATTTTTGATAATGTTTGGTCATTTAAGGCACATGGCTGCACTAAATTCTTTTTTTGTTTGCTTTATCCGTCCCTATTTTGCTGCGTCACCGGCAAAATAATTGTTTATTTATTCTTAATGTGTTTTGAAATTTGAATTGATTTTGTCCAACGACAGCTGTCAGTTGTTTTTGGATGGTGGCTTTGTGGGAACACGAGATTCACATCTTTTAAAAATTCCATCCGTTCCGCTACAATGTCCTCCGTGGGTTTATAAGGCTAAGATTGAATTTAGTTTTGCATTATTATTCATTTTATTGACGGAAAAACTTAATTTTCACGTTATTTATTTTCAATTTGTTTTCTTCCAACAACTCTTTTAAGCGGATAGAAACAAATGCTGTTTAATTCTCAACGATTCAGTCGCATACGGAATACCCTATTTGTTTGTTAGTTACTTCAGTGTTCGGTATTATTTGTAGAGCCGCCTTCGTTTTTGGTATTTCCTTGGTAGCGACGCAAGGTCACACTTTTCCTGGCAGATTAACTTTGTGGGTGTGAATCATAATAAATTAAGTAAAAAGTGCACAGCCAATTCACACCGACACCCACAAATGGCAGCCACACTGAAGCCCTACCTGACAGCCGTGCGCCACTCGCTGACTGCAGCGATGTGCCTACAGGACTTCCCCTCGCAGGTCGTGGAGCGCCACAACAAACCGGAGGTGGAGATCTGCTCCAGCAAGGAGTTGGTCCTCACGCCCGTCGTGGTATCGCGCAACGAACGCGAGAAGGTCCTAATTGAGCCCTCGATCAACTCGGTGCGCGTGAGCATCGCTGTGAAGCAGGCGGACGAGATCGAGCGCATCCTGTGCCACAAGTTTACCAGATTCATGATGCGCCGCGCCGAGTCCTTTGTAATCCTGCGTCGAAAGCCAATTGAGGGCTACGACATCAGCTTCCTGATTACTAACTTCCACACAGAGCAGATGTACAAGCACAAGCTGGTGGACTTCGTCATAAGCTTCATGGAGGAGATCGACAAGGAGATCAGCGAGATGAAGCTCGCAGTCAACGCAAGGGCCCGCACCTGCGCCGAGGAGTTCCTCAAACGCTTTTAGGTAAGTGCGGCAAGCTTATAAAGTCACCCACTCCACTAATAAACTCCTTGCAGGTGAACGCAACCCCATCTCGCCTAGTTTACTTTGCTTAAGTATTTCAAAATCGATTCAAGAATAAAGACGTCTTTTGTATAATTTACTACTTCAGTGTTTGCTGGGTTGCTGTGGGTCCGCACCAAGACAAGACCACTGAGTTTTCGTAGACCACTTCAAGTTGCTGCGAATTCGCCTCAGGAGGTGCCCCCTCCGCAGCCGAGTCGTTGAAAGTGACATTGTCCATATGGGCATTTTGGTCTGTAAAGTGGTACTGGCCCGAGCTGGTGGCCAAAACCGGCATTACTGGGTTGAAGCCCACTCCGTTACAGCAGTCTGAGTGCAGGGGCAGCACGGAGGCCTCTCCGTCTTCGTAGAGATCCCAAACATTTAGGAACCCTCTCGTGTCGCCGCTGGTTAGCCAACGACAGTCACACATGATGTCAAACTGAATGCGCTGGTTGGTTTCTACATGGCGCTGGAACTCGACCAACGGCTTCTTGTAGTTGCGCATGTCCCACTGCAGGATCTTGCCGCACTTGCGAGCTCCGCTGAACAGATGACATTCGCGGGACCCGTTCCCGCCATATCGCAGTTGGGTGATGCCGCCCTTATGTCCGCCCAGCGTAAAAAGAGGACCCTCTTTGGGACTGCAGCGCACGTCAAAATGCTGAATATAGCCGTGCCAGTTGCCGCAGGTCAGAGTGTGGGGGTGGTCAGTGCTCTGAGCAATGCAAGAGATGGCAAACTTTACGGGGTAATCATCGCACAGTCGTCCGGGTCTAACAAGTGGAAGAAGATTAATGGGCGAACGGAGCACATCTCCTGGCTCACCTGCTCGTGTCAAAGATCTTGATGCACCGCTTGTATCCTGCGTAGATTTTCTGGCCGTCGTGGGAGAAGGCCAAAGAAATGGCTGCCATGACTTCGTCCACAGCATCATACCCGCTGTAGCTGCATCGCAGTGCGCCGTCGAAGGCGTCCCACATGTGAATGGGCTCGTGCTGCCGCGTGGCCAGCCAACTAGGGGAGATTTCATTGGCAGTAAGACCGGGACAGGTCACCAACTAGCAGTCTACTCACAAGCAAGAGTCTGGCTGCTGGCTGTTCATGAGTGGAAACCAGACGCAGTCGTAAACGGTTCCGCCCTCGGGCACGTGTACCGCTGACTGGAGCTTGGTCAGGGGGCGCGACGGCTGCACTGTTGACGCGGAGTAGAGATCTGTGGGCAGCTCCATGACGTGCATGCCGTCTAGGTGGACGGGTACCAGGATGCATGTGCCGTCCGGGGACCAGTAGCAGCCCTTGGTGTAGTGCTGGGCTTCCGGCGACGAGGTCCAGCAGCGTCGCCCCAGCTCCACGAGCCTGCCGCGGAAGTACTCGAGGAGTACATCTTCAACAAGCGCCTGTGACTCCGGCACAACCTGTATATTGGCCGAAGTCAGCTCCAAAGTGTCATCTATGTCGATAACGCGCCCACTCTCCCCCTCCTCTTCGAACTCCTGAGAGGTCTCAGCCTCAAGACTCGTCTCCATGGGCCCAGATGCATCCAAGCAATTACTGTCGTTCACAGACTGTCGCATACGCAGCTTTAATATCTCCGCCTCTGAGAGAGTCACGCTGAGTTTGGCCGCCGAAATATCCCCTGTGGATGTAACCATTGTGCTGCTGAAACTCACGTTATGGTTTAGCATGGACGCCTCCACTTCGCACATGGATGTGCTTAAGTTAAGGGCTGTAGATGTAGTTATGTTTATCTATTTGGTATTTGTTTTTAAAATTCCACTTACAATCGCCCATCTCGCTCATTTTTGCCGCTCAAGCTCAGTGTAACCGTACTTGGGGTGCAAAAATATACCAATTTATTTAAAGCCTAGTCATAGAGTAAGAAACGTATAGAGGCGTCATTTGCTCTGCCTGTCAATTTTTCGACGCCGGCCCGACGCCCATGTTCGAACGGTGTGGTTAAAATATCAGCTGTTCAAACATGTGCGAGGGACCAGGAATAGGATACAACCGCCGTAAGAGCTGCGTGCGATTGAAGAGTATAGCAAGTAGGGGTTGAATTCAAAACATTTGGCGGGCCTTGGTTATATTTTGAGAGATTTATGATACTTTAGTACTGTTAAATAACCCAATTATCACTTCAAAGAACCCAAATAACATTTAGCAACGTTGCCTCATAAATAAAATTCAAAAAATGTGCTTATATATGGCTTAATTTGTAGAAATTTTGGGTTTTTCTGGGAAATGTGGCTCAGGGGTTAGATATAAATCAATGGCAATTCAAACTCCTAATTCTTTAAATGATGTCTCTGCAAAACATTAGTTTGTTTACTTTCAATACATTCACCACACTTCAAGCCGCCAATTAGATTTCCAGTATAATCCAACGGTTCGCTCTGCCTGACGTGACGACACGAGGCTCGACGTTTCACCCATACAACAACGTGCTCTCAACACAAATCTCTTTCACTCATGTTATATCGATAACAAAGTTGTGTTTTCTCTAATTTTTAGCATGTTATTCTCTTCCCCTCATTTTTGGGTTATGTTAACGTGTCTGTAAAGCCATTGAGTGAAAAATAAATGTAGCATTCTGCTTTGCCATTAAGCATAGAGTAAGAAACTATATAGAGGTTTCATTTACTCTGCCCGCGCTCTCAAGTGACTTTCCGTCTTTTCCGTCTGTCCGTCTGTCCGTCCGTCCGTCTGTCCGTCTGTCCGTCCGTCCGTCTGTCCGTCCGTCCGCCCGTCCGTCTGTCCGTCTGTTTCAATACCGTTTGCGAGCTCAGTTTAAAAGATCGGATGTCTATATCGTATAGCTCCCATAGGAACAATCGGATATAACTTGCAAGAATGGAAGATATTTCGCGCAGTGTAAAAGCTATTAACATAAATCTTTCCAAAGCTTATTTTTTTATGCATACCTTGATCAGGGTAAAAGCGCTTGGCGATCGGACGTCTATATCCTATAGCTCCCATAGGAACAATAGGGTGAAATCGGTTAAAATTTAATGATTTTAGGATATTTCGCACAGTATATAAGCAATTGACATGAATCTTTCCAAATCGTATTTTTTTATGCATACCTTGATAAGGGTAAAAGCGCGTGACGATCGGACGTCTATATCCTATAGCCCCCATAGGATCAAATCGGTCCAAATTTGATGATTTTCAGAATTTCGCGCAGTGTGTAAGCTACTGACATAAATTTTTCCAAGTCTTATTTATCTACGCATATCTTGATTAGGGTAAAAGCGCTTGCTTCCGTGGGAAAAATTGTTAAAGGCTGCGAAAATATCCCTTTTTTTCCTATTTGTATATGACAATTTTGCAGAATAAAAGCTATTGACATGAAACTATGCATATCTAGTTTGTTTATGTATACCTCATTCCTTTCGGTATTTTTTCAGTTTTAGCAATTTCGGCAAAGTCTGCAAGGGTATTTCGCGAAGCGAAACATGAAAAGACAAATTAGGCAAAGGAAAGAACAATAGGATTAACGGCGCCTTGTTTTCAACTGAAGTTGTTTTCGCGGTTTTTACGTGCACTTGCATTTGAGAAAACGGAGAGAACAGATCGAAACTGAGATTTTTTGTGAAATTTTATAACTAAATTTATCAGAAATTTAGGTAAGTGTTATTTTATTAATTATTTTGAACTGTACCTACATATACTGTTAATATATTTATTCATTATTTAAGGCGAAGCTTATAATAAAACTGTTGGGCCATCATAAACTAAGCTGGACTTGGCCGGCGGCAAAACAAGAAACGCAGTAAGTTTTTATATATTTTATAATAATTTTTCTATTTTAGATATACTTGGTCAGGAAGAGCCAGTACATAAAGCACGAAGTCAAAAAAAGAGCACCGAAACCGAAACATCCTCAACACCTCCGAGTCAACTGAAAACGTACATACATACATATGTAGATTGAATTAAGTTAAATTAATTAGTTATATGTAATGAAATAAATGAAATAATAACGAAATAATGTAATAAAATAAAAAGAAATTTATATGAAAATTTACTGAATAAATTTTACTGATGAAAAAAAAAGTGATGAAAAAGTGATGAGAAAGCGATGAAAATGCGATGAAAAAGCGATGAAAATGCGATGAAAATGAGATGAAAAAGCGATGAATTACTGATTAAAGAGTGATGAATTACTGATGAAAATGTGATGAATTCATCGCTCTTTAATCAGTAATTCATCACTCGTTAATCACTATTTCATCGCATTTTAATCACTCGTTCATCGCATGTTCATCAGTAAACGCTGTTCAAAGAGTGATGAATTACTGATTAAAGAGTGATGAAAAACTGAAAAAAGATTGATGAATTACTGATTAAAGAGTGATGAATTTTTCACTGAGTAACTCCTAGGACATGCCAATGTTAAATTCATCACTAATTTGTATGAAGTTTCATCGCCGATTAATCAGCAGTGATGAATTTTTGGTGATGAAAAAGCGATTAAAAGGTACGAGAACTCCCCATACTATTGCTTGTGCTTCGCACATGTTAGGGGTGGTGAGAAACAGAAGTTAGAAGAAGTTAGCTTCGAACATGGTTTCTCACCACTTCTAACATGTGCGAAGCACATGCAATAGTATGGGGAGTTTTCGCACCAATCCTTAGGAATAAGAGCGACCAGTGCAGCAATAAGAATTCACCATGGGCATCGATTCAAGCTCGATTCGAACAAATGAAAACTCTCTTTTTTTTTGTTTTTCCCCTACGTGGCATCACTGGCAAAGTCACTCGAGAGCGCGGGCAGAGCAAATGAAACCTCTATATAGTTTCTTATTCTATGCTATGACTGCTTTAAATAAATTGGTCATATAGTAAGAAACTATATAGAGGTTTCATTTGCTCTGCCCGCGCCATAGAGTAAGAAACTATATAGAGGTTTCATTTGCTCTGCCCGGGCCTCTGCCAAAGCTCTGCTGAGAGCCATGTTCGAAGCTAACTTCTTCAAACTTCGGTTTCTCACCACTTCTAACATGTGCGAAGCACAAGCAATAGTATGGGGAATTCTCGCACCTATCCTTAGGAATAAGAGCGACCAGAGCAGCAATAAGAATCCACCATGGGCATGGATTCAGGCTCGATTCGAACATTTGCAAAACTCTCTTTTTTTCCGTTTTTCCCCTACGTGGCATCACTGGCAAAGTCACTCGAGAGCGCGGGCAGAGCAAATGACGGCTCTATACATTATTACTCTATGCCCGCGCTCTCGAGTGACTTTGCCAGTGATGCTACGTAGGGGAAAAACAGAAAAAAAGAGTTTTTCATTTGTTTATATGGGTCTTTGTTCTTACTCTATGCCATAGATTAAAGAGAGTATATTATTACTATAGTAAAACATGTGTGACAAATTTCAAGCTTACTGGTAAATTAAATTAATATTGAGTTTTAACCCTACGCTTTTAGCTTATCATTAGCCTAATACCAGGCACTGGGATATATGATTACATTTGTACTGTTATATTTATTTTATTGTTTGTTCGTTTATGTAATTATGTTGTATCATTTTTTCAATTTCAGTAAAAAAAATTTTTCTTGGAGAAAAAAACCTGAGAACATTAATTGGTTATGATTTGGTTTTGTCTTAAAGCTATTTCTTATAATTAGGGGGTGTATTTACATTTTTTAATGGAATGGGGGTGTATTTACAGAGAGGGATTAGAGTTTAATTTATATCGTATTCAGATATAAACTAAACCATCATAAGGGTTGAGGGATTGGAATTTCCTATTATTAAATATTAGTTATCTATTTTGATTGTAAGGATTCCAACTGTATCTAGTTGTCTTATAAAGATCGGTGTGATTAATTCAGTAGAGTGTCTATAAGGAATTTCTCGTTGTTCTATGTTATAGTTTGAGATGAATTTTTCTAAGATTTGAACCGCCATTTCATCTATTTTTTTTTTTTAGCTACAGAATATAATGCTTTATTAGATACATAGTGGAGAGTGTCTCGGTTTCTTTGATGGCCTGTTGACTTCCGAAGTATGTCTCTTTCGAAGGTTCATAGATGTTTCATTTGAGCAGAGCTCAGACTCATCCAAGCTACATGCCCATAGAGAAGAATTGGTTGAATAAGCTTTCTATATGTCAATGTGCATAGGTCAATTATTTTACTTTTATTTAATGAGTGTGACATTGGTTTAAAAATGTGATGTATTTCTTTTAGTTTCATTGTTGCCTTTTGTAAGGCGTATTCAGCATGTTTGATGAAGTTTTATTTTTCGTCATATATTACTCCTAGGCATTTTAATTGTTTTTGATTTTGAAGAAAAATATTGTAATAAATGAACAATTCGGGACAAAATTTTTTTTCACTCTTATAGAGGTTGCAAGTTGTTGGTTCTTTGAAAATGCTGCTTACACATTTGCTACTATTTAATTTAAGGTGCCATTTTGTAAAGTATTCACATAGTGTGTCTAAAAATTTGTTCATTTCTGATTCGGTTTGGTGAGCGGACGCACCAGACCCTAAGATAAGGATGTCATCAGCATAAATAAGTTTAATTATTCGGGTGGACGAATTTGGTTCGTGTGGTCCGTATGACGGCATATCTGCTAAATATATATTATACAAAATGGGGGCCAGTATAGAGCCTTGAGGCACTCCTGCTGTTATAAATCTGGACATAGAGTTTGCTGTGCCATCTAGGTTGGAAACGCTAAAGGTTCTGTCTGTTAGGTAGTTTTGTATTAATCTTGCGGTGTTGGGGTTGAATCTATAAATGTTAATCATTTTATGACCAGGCCTTGAGTCCAGCCTGTATCGAATGCCTTTTCGAAATCAAGTGCACAAGCTATTGTAGCACGTCTACGGTGGATGTTTTCAAAAATAAAGTTGTTTCCCTC